TTTTGGATTTTCCTCAACCCAGAAATGTCCCCCTTCCCCCCCCCCCCACCAGCATGCAAAGGGAAGCAGGGTTGGGCTGTAGTGCAACCGGTAAAGCTACTGATCCTCTTGGTCTCTGCAGAATCTCAACCACTTTGTCACCGGGTGGATTGACTGGAACTTGGCCCTGGACATGAAAGGGGGACCCAACTGGGTGGACAACCCCGTGGATAGCCCCATCATCGTGAACCCCCTCACAGATGAATTCTACAAACAGCCCATGTTCTATCACCTGGCACATTTCAGGTAAAAACTCAGCCGAGACGGTTTCGCAAGGTGTGGAGGAAGTGGCAACGGAGAGAAAACAACAACAACAACGATACGGATGCTATAGGAGGGGCTCGTCCCATGGCAGGGAGTTCTGCAGGCTGCCAAGGAAAGGAAGGGCGGGAAGGAGGCAGTTTTACATTTAACGGTTCGTGAATTAGATTAAGGTCCAGGAACTGACCTCGGTCCAGTGGTATCGGCTAATATTTTCTCTCTTCCGGCCAGCAAATTCATCCCGGAAGGCTCCGTGCGAGTCGCTCTCACTTCCAACTGCTTGTTCGACAGCTGTCAGTTAAAGACCTCAGCTTTCCTGAGACCCGATGGCACCGCGGTGGTTGTGGTGTTGAACGAGTAAGTGGAGAGGGTCTGGAGGACCCCAAATTGGCAATAGAGTGGGCTGGTGTGAAGCTTGGGAGATGAAAAAAGAGAGTAGCCCGCAGCTGCATCATGGGCAGAGAAAGAAATTCGGAAGAAACCTAGTGTTGTGGTCCGCCAGCAGCCTGCGGAGACGGCGGCAGAATTGGACAGTGGGGAGGGACATGGGCCAGTCCTGGAGTCCGGGCAGGACTCGGACGTTGGTCCTGCATCCAGGGCCATCTGGGAGTTATGCGCTGACCCCGGAGCCTCCAGAATCTGACAGCAGCGAGGCAGAGGAATAGGGTGAGCCTGTTCCCAGTGTGCGCATGCACAAAGCTGCCAGAAGGCAAGAACAGTTAAGAAAAAAGGGGCGACTGGAGAGTAAGGCTTGGAGGTGATTGCTCCCTCCCAGGAGATATAAAAGAAGAGCAAAGGGACAGGAGTCTTTGCAGGAAGCAACTTTGTTCGTTCTGGTCGGCTTGAAACCTGAAGCTCAGTGTTGAATTTGTGCTCCGGTTGGCCTTGTATAACTAATTGGAAATTTAGTCGTTGGCAGCGTTTCAAAGGAAGATAAAGGTGCGTGCTTATCAGACTTATCCCGAAGGACTTTGGCAGACTTCCATGGGACTATTTATAACTGGTTGAGACTCATTACGGGCTGTGAATGACGATAATTCACAGCCGTTGAACTAAAATAAAAGGGTTTTGGATTTAATGTGTGTTTGTAGATGTCTCCCTAAGCCTTGGTCAAACACCTAGTTTCTTAGTCTGTAAAATAAACAGCGAGCGATTTATATTTCCAGACTTGCAAAATTGTTGTCAACCTTCCAGACAGTGAACAGAACCAGACAAGTTAATCCTACTTTATTGTAAAGGCTACATTAACAGAATCTTCCGAGTCCAAAAGTAGAAATGCCTCACATCTCTCTTAACGCAAATCTCTCCTTTTTTCAGCCGGTCTGTCAATATTTCTTTCGCTATCTCGGACGATCAGGTGGGTTCCATTAAGGATTCGGCGAGAGCTAACTCCATCCAAACCTACCTGTGGAGGAGGCCCCTTTGAGGTCCTGAGGCGGGGAAGGTAATTCGCTACTCGCTCAGGAAGAGCGGCCTCTGCAGAGAAGAGACCTTGTGTCACAGCCCACAACTCACGCATTGAAGAAGCCGCTCCAGCTAAACCAGTGGAATGTCAGCCTCAGGAGGCATCAAACTTGGTTGATACAACACAGGCACAATCACAACACCTGGAGCATACTCAGTCTCCAATCCCTTGGACATGGACCGTAGAGCTGAGAGCAGAGCAACGGTGCTCAATGAGGTTCCTTGTCAAACAAGGGAGTAGCTATCTTAATTAAAGACAGTTTGATTTAAGAGGGTACCCCTGAACCATATTCCTCTTCCGGTCTCTTGTTCTAGTGTGTAATTCCTGTGTTTCTGCTTGTGATTCCTGAAATCCTAATCGTTGGACTGTTTGTTAAATCTGACTTGGCTCTCTGAACTTTGGACTGGATTTTGACTATTCTTCTGCGCGCTCCTGTCGAGAACGAAAGCACTCTGGAAAACTTTTAATTCGTTGGTTGATATTTCCTCCGTTGTCTGGTGTTACCTGCTCCAAAATGAGTAAATGGCTAATCACTCGGTGTCTGTATTTGTGCGTGTGTGAGTTGGAGACCTGAAACAGGACAACTTGGACGAATCAATCTAAACAGAGTTGGAAGGGACCTTGTAGGTCATCTAGTCCACCCCCACCCCCCCGCTCAAGCGGGAGACCCTACACCATTTCTGACAAATGGCAGTCCAGTCTCTTCTTGAAGGTCTCAAGTGATGGTGCTCCCATAACTTCCAAGGGCAACTTCTGTTCCATTGAATATAGAATAACAGAGTTGGAAGGGACCTTGGAGGTCATCTAGTCCAACCCCCCTCCACCCAAGCAGGAGATCCTACACCATTTCAGACATATGGCAGTTTGGTCTCTTCTTGAAGCTCCCACAACTTCCGAAGGCAACTTCTGTTCCATGGGTTGATGGTTCTCCCTGTCAGAAAGTTTCTCCTTATTTCCAGGTTAAATCTCTCCTGGTTCAGTTTCCATCCATTCTTCCTCGTCTGGCCTACAGGCGCTTTGGAAAATAGAAAATCATCTCAAATAGAAAACTCTCTATGTCATTTATTTATTTATTTTGATAGTACAAGGTTTTTTTATTTTTATAACAACAACAAAAACAAACAATTTGTGAAGAATATGGAAGAGTAACACACAACTTTGCAGTAACCCGCTGCTTACTTCTCTTCGCGTAGAGGTAGTCCCATTAAGGACTACTCATTCAATATGGTTTGTCCGCAGGTTTTGATCCTGACAAAAAAATCATCAAATTACAGACATAAAATAAGTCATTTAACCACTGGTGGGATTGAAATTGTTTTACTACCAGTTCTCTGGGCGTGGCTTGGTGGGCGTGGCAGGGGAAGGATACTGCAAAATCCCCCTTCCCTCCCCACCCCATTAACCTGCTTTCCAGTTCCGTTCTCCTGTTCAGAGCAACCAAAGAAGACCCAGCCGATCAACTGGGACTCAATGGGAGGCAGAGAAGAGATGGGGGTTGGCGGGGCCAGTCAGAGGCAGGATTTTCCAGGTCTCCGGACTAACTCAAAATTTCCGCTACCGGTTCCGTAGAACCGGTCAGAACCGGCTGAATGCCACCTCTGCATTTAACAACTTCTAAAGAGTAGGGATGCGGTGGCTCAGTGGCTAAGACGCCGACCTTGCTGATTAGAAAGGTTGGCTGTTGGGTGGTTCGAATCCCCCGTGTCGCGTCACAGAGCGAGCTCCCGTTCCTTGTCCCAGCTTCTGCCAACCGAGCAGTTCGAAAGCACGTAAAAAAAAAAAATGCAAGTAGAAAAATAGGGACCCCCCCCTTGGGTGGGGAGGGAACAGCATCCTTTGTGCGCCTTTGGCATTCAGTCCTGCCGGCCACATGACCACGGAGACGTCTTCGGATAGTGCTGGCTCTTCTTCGGCTTTGTAACGGAGATGAGCCCTGCCCCCCCCCGAGCCGTGGTCGCCAATCAGTGGGCCAGAGACCGCTGGTGGTCCGTGAGAAAATGTTGGTGGTCCGCAGAGAAATGTCGCCCGCCCCCCAAAGCAATTAATCCAGGCTGCGCGGGAACACAAGGCTGCGCTGCCCACATGGACCGTGGGAACACAAGGCTTGCATCGCTTGCATTGTGAACAACACATAATAGGGAGGGGAAGGGGGAAAGGGTGGAGGGGGGGAACTTGCCCCACTCGCCCCAGGTGCCTGGCCCGGCCACTGGGCTGCTACTTTCCGCTTCTTTCTTCTTCTGCTTTTGGCTGCACGCAAGGAAAGCAGCAAAAGTCTTTCTTTCTCTCCCCCAAACTCTGCCAGAAATGAGTCTTTGGGACCCTGCAAGGCCTCCTGATCCAAGAGGCTGCGCCAGCAAAGACTCATTTCTGGCGGAGTTTGGGGGAGAGAAAGAAAGACTTCTGCGGCTTCTGCTGCTTTCCTTGCATGCAGCCAAAAGTCTCTCTCTCTCTCTCTCCTTGAGAACGGAGCTGGAGACGGTATCCCGCAATCCCAAACAAAGAACGATCGATCGGCAGGAAGTTGGGGTGGGGCATTTTCCTGCAGACTTTTTGGGGGATTTTCCCAGGGGGGTCTCTGGTCCGCGGGATTTAAAATTGTGAGTTTGGTGGTTCCCTGAAGTCCAAAAGGTTGTCGACCCCTGGACTAGAGCTGGAAACAACTAGCACGTATGTGCGAGGGGAAACCTTTACTTTAAAAGGTAATTCAGGACTCATTTGAAGGCACGAAAAAGAGAAGGAAAAATTGCTCTATTCTTTGGCCTGCAGGGGGTGCTTGCATTTCAAATGGTGCTAGTCCACATGGGCAAAACGTCGGTAGAATTTCACAACCTCATCCTTAACCCCCACACGTTGGCTGGGTTATTTAGCCTTTGATCCTTGATGAAATCGTTCCGCTACAAATACACTCGACTCTTACCGCATCTTGATCATTAACATACCATAATGGGTTATGATAATTCTTCTCGCTTCATCATAATTTAAATAGGGGTTTTCTGCATTTTAAGATTATGTTTTAAACCACTCAGCTGTGAGATGGGATTATTCTGATCGTTATTTCAAAACTCTCAGCATTTCAGCACAGGCCGGCCTAATTAATGAGCTCCTGGGCGATTTAATGAAAGAATAGATAATTAATCCCAGAGTTCTCACGATTTCTGGGAACGGCGCTGTATTCTGAATAAAGTCACAGCCCCGGTTCCCTTAGAACAGAGCTGGCTGAAGGATTCTGGGAGTTGAAGTCCACGAGTCTTAAAAGTTGCCAACTTTGGAAGAAGAACAATTGTTGTCGACGTCAACTCCCAGAATTCTTAGCGGCTTGGCAACTTGTCAGCGTGCTAGCTGGGGGAATTCTGGGAGTTGAAGTCCACAGATCCTAAAAATGGCCAATTTGGGAAAACACTGTTCTAGAACCCTCTCCATTAATATAATATATATTATATGAATATAATATTGAACAAAAAATCGGGGGCAAGTCCAGGACTAACTTGACCAGCGGAAGGGAAGTAAAATGAAGAGAATACAAATTTGGGGGGTGCCATTCAGAAATTAAAAGGATATATACATGCAAACAAATTTCACATTTAGCTTTTTAAAATTCCCTCCGCCACCCTTCGTCTTCCCTTCTGTGTCATTCCCCCATCCAGAGGGACTAGTAACTTACTTTTTTTTTGTTAATGGGAACGTTGGCTGGAGCAGACCTGGTTTTGCCATCCCTTCCTTCCCACGGATCTTATCTATTTTGAATTGCAAAACCATTTCCAAACAGTTGGGAATTGGTTTGCAATAAAACTTGAAGCTGAATATCAGCATCTCTCTATCTCTCTCTCCGCTTCTGTCTGTCTCTGTCTGTCTGTCTCTCTGTCTCTCTCTGTCTGTCTCTGTCTCTGTCTCTCTCTGTCTCTTTCTCTCTCTCTGTCTCTCTCTCTCTGCTTCTGTCTGTCTGTCTGTCTCTCTCTCTCTCTCTCTTTCTGTCTGTCTTTCTCTCTCTCTCTCTCTCTCTGTCTCTCTCTGCTTCTGTCTGTCTATCTCTCTCTCTCTCTCTCTGTCTCTGGACCGTCTGGATGGCTTTTCTGGTTCTCCACCTTGGGTGTGACTGCGCCAGCCTCCAACGCTTGCAAAATCCACCCGCTGATTCCCAGAGAAATCAGGCATTCAACCCCGAAGGGAAAAAATAAAATAAAATAAGTGGGGAGATTTTCCTGCCAAACCAGCTGGCCGCGATCTTACGGCAGATGCTGGCTGCGGTGTGAAGAGAGAGGCACAAGCTTCGGACGCTGTCCTGGGCGGAAAGGACCACTTTCTTGGAGCTGGGGTGAGAGAGAGAGGTGAGTGTGCCAGAGAAAGGATGTGTGTGCGTGGAAATCTCCCCCTCCCCAATTTCCTCCCCCTCCCTCCCCTGTATTGTTAAGCTAGCATCTGTAGAACCTCCCTATTCAGGAGCAATCTACCTCTGAGTAGACAAGAAAGGGAAGTTTTGTTGCCCTGCTTTGGGGTTCTCCGCCGATGTCTTAAGAACAGATTAAGGGCTTCCTTTAATTTGTGGGTCTTGGGGTACACTCTTCCACCCCTCTCCCAATATAAGCCATTTGCTGCAGGAAGCTTGTTAACACCAGACCTGAACTCGGGTTTAATGAGGCAATTAATTAATCAGGCAATGTTCTGAAGAGCAATTCGTAGTCTAAATTAAACTCTTTAGAACGTTGCTTGCTTAATTGGAGAAATTTAACCCGGAGCTTTCATTTGATCCGGCTCCTCCACTTTTTTCTTCTTTTTTTTCTTTCTAATCCATGAGGACTAGAATCTCGGGATCTCAAGGGACTACAGGAGAGCACCGGCTGAACACGTCAGGTTTGGTGCTTTAAGGAGCGCTGGGGAAACGGTTACAGTTTGCTGGGGGAATCTCGAGGGAATCGAGTGATCCTTCTTGGGCTTAGATTCCTGAGGACTAGCATCTTATTTCACCTTTAGGGGAAAGCTAACGTCCCAAGAGGGTGTAAAAGATTCCAGATTGGATTTCTTTATTCTTTCTTTCCCAGGGAGACCTGGAAGCCCTTGCTGAGTCTGAATAAATAAAAGGAGATTAAAGTGCTGAAATGGCTGGCCGAGTGCTTTTTTTCTTTCTTTCTTTCTTTCTTTCTGGAATTCAGCATCCCTCAAAGATGGCTAGCCTCTTGAATTTCCTCTCCAAAGCATCAACATTTTTAGAGGAGAAAATTTCCCTGTTTGGCTTTCTAATTTCAGGGGGGG